GGGGAGGGAAGTGCATGGGACTATAGTGATGGCACACGGGTGACTTGGTGATGGGAAACCCGTGGGGAATACAAATGAGATGAAAAAAAAAATGTACAAAATGATGTAAAAATAAACTGTTATTAAAAAAAAGATGCAGGTAAATTAAAAAAAAAAGTCACTGCTAAGAATGTGGAATCTCAAAGCACACAGTGAAACTACAACTGCAATGTACATATGGAAAAAGACTCAAGGCAAAACATGTAAAAAAAAACTCATAGAAATCAATAAGAAAATGGTGGAAAAATAGCAAAAATTTGAAGAACTTCTTTAGACATATGATATTCCATATTAATAAAGATAGGAAAACATGTAATATTAGCAGTTTTATAGAAATCAAATATAATCGCACTAGAGTGTTCCATGTGTGTCCTCTCACACCCTGGTGCCTGAATATAGTCAGAGGAAGGGACCCAGGACAGTTAAGAGAAATAATGAGTATCTCCAGGGATACCCATTGAGCAAGTTTCCCTGAAATGACACAGAAAGAAGAAAACGCAGTGACAGTACCCAGACTTGGACAATGGAGAAAAGGCAGGATTTTTTAACCTTATCATCTTTCAGGACCAAAGTACCCTATTCATTATCTAATTTAAATATCACAAACCTTGGAAAATAATTTTCATTGTTTTCACCTTTTATAGATGTGAAATGACACATACCTTTTCTAACTTAGAACATGTAACGTTTACTTGCAGCAGCAGGTAGCGTCTTAGAGGGCTTCTAAGGAGCAAGGTTTGGATGATCGGAATTGAATGAATCCAGAACAGACCTCAGTGATGGTGACATCATTGGTCCTCCCAACAACATAAACCTAAGAAGTATAAGCCAAATATAGGTAAATATTATCCCAAGATCAATGGGCCAGGAATCATCCACTAACCATTAATTGTGCTGTATGTTTTAACCAACCTCTTTACAGTTTTGTGCTGGGAATAGAAGGGGCTAGAAGGAAAGACGAGATTATTTCTGAAAATCTGTAAGTACTTTTCTCTATCAGTATCTGCCTGCCCCAAGCCTTGGTCTTCTGTCTGTGATGCTATCCCCCAAATGTCTGCATGATGTACCTCCCAACTTCCCTCAGGTCTATATTCAAATGTCACCACTTGGGCAGTCTTGAGCCAGCCCTCTCTTCTCCCTGAGACCCAAGCTCCAGCACACTCCAGGCATCAGCAAGCAAAGCAACTCTTTGTGCATGGGTGCTGCCCCCTAGTGTTGAGTCAATATATTCTCTGGGCCAGACACTGGCTTTCTGCTGCCCTACAGGGTTCCCTGGTTGGACTGTAGCCAAGCCTGGTCCCTTCAGGAGCTGCTGTTGCTGAATCAGGGAGTAAGTTTCCCATTGTAAAGAGGATTCTGGAGAACTGGTTGGTTTTTATTTTTTCCCCTTCACAGATATGAAAGTACTGACTTCTGTGACAAATGTAAGACACAGTCTAGTTTAGGATGGAGATTAATAATGTTATGCTGGACAAAAACCTTTGTATTTGTGGAATGAGATAGGAGTTTTCTATTGGTTAAGGGAAATTAGTGAGGACATGCAGAAATGGCAACCCTGTGCTCTTTGATAGGAAGACATTGGTGTTGACACTATGGAAAACGGGGGGGGGGGGCGCTGCTCAGAAAATTAAAGATAAAATCAGTATATGATACAACAATTATATTCTGGGTATATATCAGAAGCCAACAAATCTCTATAGACATCACACCCATGTCATTGCAGCATTATTGACAATCATTTTGTCTTGGAAACAACCTAATTGTCTATTAATGCACAAATAGAAAATAAGACACGTGTGCAGGCCCACAGGCGTGTGCACACACACACACTCACAAGGACAACATTAAGCCTTACAAGGAGGAAATCCTGCCATTTGAGAAAACATGGATGGACCTTGAAGGCATTGTGCTAAGCAAATTAGGTGAGGCACAGAAAGTAATGCTGAATGATCTCACATGTCAAAGTTTGAAAAAGCTAAAAATGTCATTGGTACACAGGAAAAATGCATAGTTGCCTTGGGAAAGGCATGAGAACATGGCAGAAATGGGTGAATGTGGTCCACACATACAAACTTCCACTAACAGTTACTGGATATAAAGAACAGTCTGGTCACTGAATATAGGTTTAAAATTATACACAATTATGCATAAGCATGTACTTTGGAATAGTATGTTTATCTGTTTGCTGTAGCTTTCTTGGACTGAAATATGCAGGGTTAAAATAGAATAAAGTTCTTGTTAGAATGCACAGTCAGCATAAGGGGATAACTACACTCAAGGATTAGAGGGAGAGAGATCAGGGAAGATCTGGGAACCTCAGTGGTGATTCTGTGTTTGGAGATTTCTGTAAGGAACCGAGGACAGTTAGAAGACCATTG